GGACCGGTTCTGGCTCCTGCCACCATGACGGGTGGACAGTCCTCTACTCGGGGCAGCAGACTGCCAAACAACAGGGTGTGGCTCTTCTTTTGAACAAAAGAATGAAGGGGGCGTGGGAGCGTGGCGGTGAGGTGTGGGAAGCTGTAAGCCCCAGGCTACTTTGGGCTCGCCTTCCCATCAACCGGAGGCGAGGAGTGGTGGTCGTGGTTACTTAGGCCCCCACCGAAGACGAACATCCGTGGAGGGACGCAGGCAAAGCCAATGAGTCAGATGCCTTCTATGACCTCCTGTCACAGGTGCTGGCTAAAGTGGCCCCTCGGGATAGAGTCATCATGTTGAGTTGGTCATGATGCTGGCACCTAGTCTGGAGTGATTGGAGGGCATGGGCCAGATCAGCTCAATAACAACGGTAGGAGGCTGCTAGATTTTTGTGCAGCCCATGGGCTTGTAATTACTAACACGCTGTTCCGGCATCAGCGCATCCACACAACATCATGGATGCATGCCGGGTCCAAGCAAGAACATCTGCTGGACTACATAGTGACGGACCAGCGGATGCGAGCCCATGTCCTTGACACCAGGACCTATCGTGGAGCTAATCTGCCCACTGATCATCAACTTGTCATCTGTAAGATGCGCCTGCCTTTCTTCCACTCCGGTGGTGGGTGTACACCGAGGACCCCATTCCAACCTAAAGTGGCCTGGTCTCAGTTATCTGATGAAAGTTGCAAGCGAGAATTTCATCATCGCTTGCGCCTGGGGTTGGCATCGTCCCCCACTCCTCCTGATGTCAAGGGTAAATGGGCGAGGTTTAGGACTGTGACTGATGCAGCTGCAATGGCTGCTTTGGGTACGCGGTCCAGACCTCCCCAGAAGCCCTGGCTGACAAAGGAGGTGTTCAGGATGGTTGAAAAAAAGCGACAGGCCCACTGTCATCGGCTACAGAATCCCACGTCAGAGAATGAGGAGGCTTACCGCAGCCTTCGCTCGGAGGTTCGGAGAGCTGAGGCACTGCAAGGATGGGTGGTGGTCGCGGGTTGCTCAGGAGATGGAGTCTGCCTCAGTGGCCCGCGATCACAAATCTCTATTTAACTCCATCAAAAAGGTAACCTGCAGCGCCACACCTATTACCATCATTACAGGAAAAAACGGTGATCCAATCTCCGACCCCCAGGAACAGGTTTGCAGATTTGCTGAGCATTTCTGTGAGGTCCTGGGGGAGGGGAAATCTCTCAGCCAGGAAAACATCGTGGCACAAAGTGGGGATGACCCTGCTGAGGCTGCAGTGCCTCAAATATTGGAAGAAGTCACCCCTTGTGAGTGGCTGGCTGAGGTGCCATCTGTTGAGGAAGTACTGAAGGCGATCCGGAGTCTGAGATCAGGAAAGGCAGCGGGCAGAGATGATCTCCCAAGCGAAATGCTGAGGGTAGCGTTTGTGCACAGTTTGCCCATATATAACATCATAACAACAATCTGGACTACTGGATGGGTTCCGCAGGATTGGAAGGATGTCCTGGTGGTCCCCCTCTTTAAGAAGGGGGACCGCACAGACTGTAACAACTACAGGGGCATCTCACTCCTCAGTGTGCCGGGAAAGGTCCTGGCAAGGATTATTCAACATCGCCTTGCCAGGCACGCTGAGGAGAGGCTTGCGGAGCCCCAATGCGGTTTCAGGAAAGGGCGGTCCTGCACAGATGCCATATTTTCTGTCCGTCTGCTACAGCAGAGGTGTAGGGAATTCCAGCAAGACCTACATCTCTGCTTTATTGACCTGGTCAAGGCCTATGATACCATCAGTAGGCCTGGGCTCTGGGTTGTTCTTCGTGCTTTTGGAGTCCCTGACCCTCTGCTCACGATCATTAAGGACCTTCATGATGGTGAACGGGCCCGGGTAAAACTATGTGGCCGGGAGTCAGAGGCATTCCCTGTACACCTTGGGGTGCGACAGGGATGTCCTCTGGCTCCCACATTATTTAACATCTATTTTGACCACGTAGTTCGTGAAGCCTTCAATAGCTATATTCATATTCTTAGCTCTTTCGGTAAAGTCACGTTGAAGGGAAACAATAAAATAATAAAATACATATAAAACAATAAAAATGCTCACGACGTTTCTGTACCTGACACCATCGCAATCATTCAAGACTTCATCAAGGACTAAACACTGAGGTACCCCCCTGGTGAGACTATGCTTAACCAATACATACTTCACTTGGAATGGAACTTTCTACAAACAAACTGAGGGCACCCCAATGAGCTCCCCCCTATATCCGGTTATAGCTAACATTTTCATGGAGAAATTTGAGACTGACGCCATCCAGACTGCCACTCTGCGCCCAACCTTATGGAAGAGGTACGTGGATGACACTTTTGTCATCTGGCCACATGGCCGGCCTGCTCTAGACCAATTCTTCGACCACATCAATTCCATACACCCAGCCATCAGATTTACCATGGAAGTCGAAAAAGATGGCAAGCTACCTTTTTTGGATGTCCTAATTAAAAAGAGACCTGATGGTTCAATGAGCCACTCTGTCTACAGGAAAGCTACCCATACGGATGCTTATCTGAAACCGGATTCCCACCACCATCCATCACAGAAGAACTCTCTCATCAAGACTCTGTATCATAGAGCCCAATGCATATCCGACTAGGAACACATAGGCAGTGAACTCAAGCATGTACACCAAGCTCTTAAGGCTAATGGTTACTCCGACTATACAATCCGCAAAGCTATCACTCAAACTATGAAGAAGGACCCTCTTGAGGAGCCTTTCAAAACCATCCGTTACCCTACATTGCGGGGATCACAAAAAAGATCTCCAAAATCTTGAATAAACACAAGATCCAGGTCCGTTTCAACACATTACATAAAATCCGTCATCTGGTTCCGTCTGTAAAAGATGTGATTCCGGACATACAGTACCCTGGTGTCTACAAACTAAGTTGCCTCTGTGGTAGTAGTTACATTGGAGAAACCAAACGCCATGTCTCGGACCGCATTCGTGAACACAAAGCAGACCTTAAACACGGTAGGACCAACACCTCGGCCGTGGCAGATCATTGTTATAATTCAGTAGGCTCACATGACATTGACTTTTCCAAGACAGAGGTTCTTTGTAAGCCATCTGGCTACCATGAGAGATTCGTTCATGAGGCTATCCACATATACAAGCACAGAGACAATTTCAACCGAGAAGATGGATTCTGGCTTAGCAATCATTGGAAAGATTTGATTAACCATTTCTGGTCTTAATTGATTGTTCACGCTTACAGTGTTCAGACAACATACATTCATTTTTCGTCTCCCCCCTCCTCTTTTCAGAACAGAGATGGACTCGTCCTTCTAAACAAACTGCCAAATCGCTGCTCGTGGTGCTAACGATTTTTTTTAAATAAATAAAAACACCGTTTAAAAATAAATAAATGCAAACCGCCACTTCTTTCAAATGTTTCTTGCCGTTGCTTTTCACACCTGATGATGACCGTTTATGTTATGGTCGAAACGTCGTGAGAATTTTTATTGTTTTATATATATTTCATTATTTTATTGTTTCCCTTCAATGTGACTTGACCGAAAGAGCTAATAATATGAATTACTGCAGTCACGAAAGCTTTAAATCAAAACCTTCAATAGCCGTACTGGGGGAATCTCCATTTGGTACAGATATAATGGGAGGCTGATCGATGCCCGGGTGCGGTCAAGGGATGGCTCCCTATTGCTCAACCACGTTATGTATGCCGATGATTTGGTAATAGCTACTCATTCAGAGGAGGAGTTGGAGACGCTGCTGCTGAGACTGGAGCGTGCCACTAAGAGATGGGGCCTTACCATCAGCCCCACCAAAACTAAGCACCTGCCTGGGTATTTTGTAGCATCGGACACTCCACCCTCACAACTTCCAATCGGTGATGGGGCAGTTGTGGAGAGAGTGTAGAGTTTTCCATACCTGGGCAGTGTGTTTATGACCGGCTCCAGTTTAGCAGCAGAGGTCTCACTCCGAATCAGTCGAGCGGCAATATCTTTTTATCGGTTGCATAACGCGGTGTGGAAGCTACATTGTCTGTTGTTCCGCACTAAGCTTCAGGTCTTCTCGGCCACGGTCATTCCCTCCCTTCTCTACGCTTGCAAAACGTGGACCCCTCAAATGGAACATCTTCGCCGGTTAGAAACACTTAGGCTAGCCTGCCTACGATCCATCCTGGGTTTAACCAGGCTGGATTGTGTGAGGAGCTCACAAATCTTTGAAAGATCTGGGCAAGGTCCCATTGGTGAGCTCCTCCGGCAGGCAAGGCTGCGTTGGCGGGGTCATGTAGCCCGCATGCCCAGCCACCGCATGCCGAAACAGCTTTTGTTCGGCCGGATTGAGGGGGCTAAACGGGCGCGGCACGGGCTGGAGAAGAGATGGAGTGATGTGGTACAGGAGGACGTGAAGCTGAGTGGACTTGCCGATGACTGGTACCAGCGGTGTCAAGATTGGCCTCTGAAGGAGGCTCGTGAAGGACGCTACTGGGCAGTTGGAGGCAGTCGCCCTCCAACAACAACGGAGGGCGGAGGAGCGATGCTCACAACAACGAGCGGAGCGCCGGGTGGCTAAAGCACAGCAGGTTGGCACAGTAGGGGGCACAGCTGGTGCATCAGCCAGTCACCTGTCAGTCGACCCGTGGCAACTGGGTCTGCCCCGTGACCTCCTGCCAGCGGGCGTTCGACACTTCACATGGCCTCAAGGTGCACATGGCCTGGTGACGTCACCGCCACTTAGTGGCGAATGGCGGTTGTTGTTGTTGTCTGTGTGTGTCTGTGTGTGTGTCTGTGTGTGTCTGTGTGTGTCTCTGTGTGTGTGTCTGTGTGTGTGTCTGACTGTGTGTGTGTGTCTGTGTGTGTGTCTGTGTGACTGTGTGTGTGTCTGTCTGTGTGTGTGTCTGTCTGTGTGTGTGTCTGTGTGTGTGTAGTCTGTGTGTGCGTCTGTGTGTGTCTGTGTGTGTGTGAAGTCTCTCACCCTTCGTGGAAGACCGGGCCGCCCGTGTGGTAGACGCAATCCTCCCTGTCGCTCTCCGGGCCCTGATATGACTACACAAAGACAAAGGTCCCCCGTGTAGCCTGAATAGAATGTTGGGGCAAGTGCTGTTAGTAGCGAGTAGCAGCCCCAATGATCACACAAAGACAAAGATACCCCCAGTGTAGCCTCAACAGACTGTTGGGGCAAGTGCTCTACGATACAAAGACCACCCGTGTAGCTTTAAGAGACTGTTGGGGCAAGTTCTGTTCGTAGCGAGTAGCACCTACAAAGACAAAGATCCCCCGTGTAGCCTGTGCCAGACTGTTGGGGCAAGTGCTGTTAGTAGCGAATAGCAGCTCCAATGATCACACAAAGACAAAGATCCCCCGTGTAGCCTGAATAGACTGTTGGGGCAAGTGCTGTTCGATACGAAGACAAAGATCCCCCATGTAGCCTGTAAGAGACTGTTGGGGCAAGTACTGTTAGTAGCGAGTAGCAGCACCTATGAAGGCCGGCACGGCACACAAGGGGGTGGGTGGCCAGCACCACGCCCGACCGCCTTTGTCTCCCAATGCAGACGGTGAGAGCCAGGCCCTCGGTTCTGACATTCCCAAGTTAGACACGGCCAGCAATTGAACTTGGGATGCCGGGTTAAAAACAGACGTCTATGTGTCTACGTGTCTATCTGCGTGTCTATCTGTGTGTCTGTGTGCCTATCTGCGTCTGTGTCTTTGTCTACGTGTGCCTATCTGTGTGTCTGTGTCTTTGTCTATGTGTGTCTACGTGTGTCTATCTGTGTGTCTGTGTGTCTATCTGTGTGTCTATCTGTGTGTCTGTGTGTCTATCTGTGTGTCTGTGTGTCTATCTGTCTATCCAAGTGTCTGTTTCTATGCATCTGTGTGTATCTGTATATATCTGTGTGTCTATATCTGTGTATCTGTGTGTATGTATATGTGTGTCTATATCTGTGTATCTGTATGTATCTCTGTATCTGTGTATCTGTGTATGTATCTGTGTGTCTGTATCTGTGTATCTATATGTATCTGTGCATCTGTGTGTATGTATCTGTGTATCTGTGTATGTATCTGTGTCTGTATCTGTGTGTCTGTATCTGTGTGTCTGTATCTGTGTGTATGTATCTGTGTGTATGTATCTGTGTGTATGTATCTGTGTATGCATCTGTGTATGTATCTGTGCGTCTGTATCTGTGTATCTGTATGTATCTGTGTATCTGTGTGCATGTATCTGTGTGTATGTATCTGTATGTATCTGTGTGTATGTATCTGTGTGTATGTATCTGTGTGTATGTATCTGTGTGTATCTGTGTGTATGTATTTGTGTGTATGTATCTGTGTCTGTATCTGTGTGTATGTATCTGTGTGTATGTATCTGTGTCTGTATCTGTGTGTCTGTATCTGTGTGTCTGTATCTGTGTATCTGTGTGTATGTATCTGTGTGTATGTATCTGTGTATCTGTGTGTATCTGTGTGTATGTATCTGTGTGTCTGTATCTATGTGTCTGTATCTGTGTGCATGTATCTGTGTATCTGCATCTGTGTATCTGTGTGTATCTGTGTGTATCTGTATGTATCTGTGTGTATGTATCTGTGTGTATCTGTGTATCTGTGTTTATGTATGTGTGTATGTATGTGTGTATCTGTGTGTATCTGTGTATCTGTGTGTATCTGTGTGTATCTGTGTATCTGTGTGTATCTGTGTGTGTGTATGCATGTGTGTATCGTCCGGCAAAACAACCCCCTACCTCCTTGCGGTGCCGGATGGGCAACTCTGTCGAGGACAGTGCTGTGGGGGGAGGTCCAATTTCGATTGGCTCCTCCCCTCATGGCATCTGTGTCCACCACAGGGGCTAAATGGGGGCTCTGGACAGACGCGAGGGGCTGGTAACCCCTCCACCTTCAATTAATTACCACTAAACCGCGAATTAAGTATATAACTAATACGCTTGTGCCGGAGGCCCCGGGGGGCCAGGTGTCTATGACATCTCCTGGCCAAACCCCAATTGGCGGAGCCAGGAGATTGAATATCTACCCTCAGGGCTCCTCCAGAAACAACGAAAAACCACTACGGGTGGCCACGTGGAATGTTCGAACGCTCACTGCGGAGGAGAGGCTGCCACTCCTCTGTCGGGAGCTGGACCGGTACCGCCTGGATCTATGTGGCATTCAGGAGGTCCGGTGGACCGGTTCTGGCTCCTGCCACCATGAGGAGTGGACAGTCCTCTACTCGGGGCAGCAGACTGCCAAACAACAGGGTGTGGCTCTTCTTTTGAACAAAAGAATGAAGGGGGTGTGGAAGCGTTGCGGTGAGGTGTGGGAAGCTGTGAGCCCCAGGCTACTTTGGGCTCGCCTTCCCATCAACCGGAGGCAAGGAATGGTGGTCGTGGTTACTTATGTCCCCACCGAAGATGAACATCCGTGGAGGGATGCAGGCAAAGCCGATGAGTCAGATGCCTTCTATGACCTCCTGTCACAGGTACTGGCTAAAGTGGCCCTCGGGACAGAGTCATCATGTTGGGTGACTTCAATGCCCGAGTTGGTCATGAAGCCGGCACCTGGTCTGGAGTGATTGGAGGGCATGGGCCAGATCAGCTCAATAATAACGGTAGGAGGCTGCTAGATTTTTGTGCAGCCCATGGGCTTGTAATTACCAACACGCTGTTCCGGCATCGGCGCATCCACACAACATCATGGATGCATGCCGGGTCCAAGCAAGAACATCTGCTGGACTGCATAGTGACGGACCAGTGGATGCGGGCCCATGTCCTTGACACCAGGACCTACCGTGGAGCTGATCTGCCCTCTGACCATCGACTGGTCATCTGTAAGATGCGCCTGCCTTTCTTCCACTCCGGTGGTGGGTGTACACCCAGGACCCCATTCCAACCTAAAGTGGCCTGGTCTCAGTTATCTGATGAAAGTTGCAAGCGAGAATTTCATCATCGCTTGCAGCTGGGATTGGCATCGTCCCCGACTCCTCCTGATGTCGAGGGTAATGGGGCGAGGTTTAGAACTGAGACTCATGCAGCTGCAATGGCTGCTTTGGGTACGCGGTCCAGACCTCCCCAGAGACCCTGGCTGACAGAGGAGGTGTTCAGGATGGTTGAGAAAAAGCGATAGGCCCACTGTTATCGGCTACAGAATGCCACGTCAGAGAATGAGGAGGCTTACCGCAGCCTTCGCTCGGAGGTTCGGAGAGCCGTGAGGCGCTGCAAGGATGGGTGGTGGTCGCGGATTGCTAAGGAGATGGAGTCTGCCTTAGTGGCCCGTGATCACAAATCTCTATTTAACTCCATCAAAAAAGTAACCTGCAGCGCCACACCTATTACCATCATTAGGGGAAAAAACGGTGATCCAATCTCCGACCCCCTGGAACAGGTTTGCAGATTTGCTGAGCATTTCTGTGAGGTCCTGGGGGAGGGAAAATCCCTCAGCCAGGAAAACATTGTGGCACAAAGTGAGGATGACCCTGCTGAGGCTGCGGTGCCTCAAATATTGGAAGAAGTCACCCCCTGTGAGTGGCTGGCTGAGGTGCCATCGGTTGAGGAAGTACTGAAGGCGATCCGGAGTCTGAGACCAGGAAAGGCAGCGGGCAGAGATGATCTCCCAAGCGAAATAATGAGGGAGGGTGGCGTTTGTGCACAGACTGTCCTATATGACATCATAACAACAGTCTGGACCACTGGACGGGTTCCGCAGGATTGGAAGGATGCCCTGGTGGTCCCCTTTTTTAAGAAGGGGGACCGCACAGACTGTAACAACTACAGGGGCATCTCACTCCTCAGTGTGCCGGGAAAGGTCCTGGCAAGGATTATTCAACATCGCCTTGCCAGGCACGCTGAGGAGAGGCTTGCAAGAGCCCCAATGCGGTTTCAGGAAAGGTCGGTCCTGCACAGATGCCATATTTTCTGTCCGTCTGCTACAGCAGAGGTGTAGGGAATTCCAACAAGACCTACATCTCTGCTTTATTGACCTGGTCAAGGCCTATGATACCATCAGTAGGCCTGGGCTCTGGGTTGTTCTTCGTGCTTTTGGAGTACCTGACCAGCTGCTCACGATCATTAAGGACCTTCATGATGGTGAGCGGGCCCGGGTAAAACTACGTGGCCAGGAGTCAGAGCCATTCCCTGTACACCTTGGGGTGCGACAGGGATGTCCTCTGGCTCCCACATTATTTAAGATCTATTTTGACCACGTAGTTCGTGAAGCCTTCAATAGCTGTACCGGGGGAATCTCCATATGGTACAGATATAATGGGAGGCTGATCGACGCCCAGGTGCGGTCAAGGGATGGCTCCCTATTGCTCAACCACGTTTTGTATGGTGATGATTTGGTAATAGCTGCTCATTCAGAGGAGGAGTTGGAGACGCTGCTGCTGAGACTGGAGCGTGCCACTAAGAGGTGGGGCCTTACCATCAGCCCCACCAAAACGAAGCACCTGCCTGGGTATTTTGTACCATCGGACACTCCACCCCCACAACTCCCAATCGGTGATGGGGCAGTTGTGGAGAGAGTGGAGAGTTTCCCATACCTGGGCAGTGTGCTTATGACCGGCTCCAGTTTAACAGCAGAGGTCTCACTCTGAATCAGTCGAGCGGCAATATCTTTTCATCGGTTGCGTAACGCTGTGTGGAAGCTACCTGGTCTGTCGCTCCGCACTAAGCTTCAGGTCTTCTCGGCCATGGTCATTCCCTCCCTTCTCTACGCTTGCGAAACGTGGACCCCCCTAATGGAACATCTTCGCCGGTTAGAAACATTTAGGCTGGCTTGCCTACGATCCATCCTGGGTTTAACCAGACTGGATTGTGTGAGGAGCTCACAAATCCTTGAAAGATCTGGGCAAGGTCCCATCGGTGAGCTCCTCCGGCGGGCAAGGCTGTGATGGCTGGGTCATGTAGCCCGCATGCCCAGCCACCGCATGCCGAAACAGCTTTTGTTCGGCCGGATTGAGGGGGCTAAACGGGCGTGGCACGGGCTAGAGAAGAGATGGAGTGATGTGGTACAGGAGGACGTGGAGCTGAGTGGACTTGCCGATGACTGGTACCAGTGGTGTCAAGATCGGCCTCTGTGGAGGATGCTCGTGAAGGACGCTACTGGGCAGTTGGAGGTAGTCGCCCTCCAACAACAACGGAGGGCGGAGGAGCGACGCTCACAACAACGAGGGGAGCGCCGGGTGGCTGAAGCACAAAGGGTTGGCACAGTAGGGGGCACAGGTGGTGCATCAGCCAGTCATCTCAGTCAGTCGACCCGTGGCACCTGGGTCTGCCCCGTGACCTCCTGCCAGCGGGCGTTCGACACTTCACGTGGCCTCAGGGTGCACATAGCCTGGCACAAGCGTCGTGGTGACGTCACTGCCACTTAGTGGTGAATGGCGGTTGTTGTTGTTGTGTATCTGTGTGTATCTGTGTATCTGTGTGTATCTGTATGCATCTGTGTGTCTGTGTGTATCTGTGTGTATCTGTATGTATCTGTGTGTACGTGTGTATGTGGGGAGCGGTAGTGTAGCGGTTAGCGCGCTGCGCTATGAACCCGGCAACCCGGGTTCGATTCCCGCTCACGGCTAACACCATTGACGATTATCTTAACCGGTCCCGGGCCTCCCCTAGGTCGACTCAGCCTCAAATGAGTACCTGGTGCGGTGTGTAAACATTAACACTAGGGAGACAAAGGCTGTCGGGCGTGGTGCTGGCCACCCACCCCCTCGTGTATCGTTACCGGCCTTCATAGGTGCTTGCTAACAGCACTTGCCCCTACAGTCTGTTAAGGCTATATGGGGGATCTTTGTCTTTGTGTATGTATCTGTGTGTATGTGTAGTGACATAGAATCGGTCACTAAGCAGCACAGTGCTGGCTGCTGGCAGGGAAGGGGATCTGCAGCTTGCAGCAGCCCCGACCGACATCGAGCCACGTGACGGACCGAGGGGTAAAGGTCAAGGAAGGGGCACGTCCAGAGTCCTGCTCGTAGGTTCCAGAAGGGGGTGTGGCCAGGGACGGAGCCAGGCCACGCTGACGGGGTAAGAGGGGACCCAGAGTGGGGGATCGGGGCCGTCGTCTGGAGTGGGATCCCCTCCTCCTCCTCGTCGTCATCGCTGTCGTCGTCCACTTGTCTTAGTTCAGCACCATCAGCGCCCGACGGCCAGCGTCGTGGTGCAGGCTAGCGACCAGCGTAGAGTCGCGTTGACGCTAGACGCTAGTTGGCTGTCTTAGTTCAGCGACGTCAGTGTCAGATGGCCAGCGTTGTGTTGTAGGCTAGAGACCAGCGTAGTCGCGTTGACGCTAGACGCTAGTTGGCTGTCTTAGTTCAGCGACGTCAGTGTCAGATGGCCAGCGTCGTGGTGTAGGCTAGCGACCAGCGTAGAGTCGCGTTGACGCTAGACGCTAGTTGGCTGTCTTAGTTCAGCACCGTCAGTGTCAGACGGACAGCGTCGTGGTGCAGGCTAGCGACCACGTAGAGTCGCGTTGACGCTGGACGCTAGTTGGCTGTCTTAGTTCAGCACCGTCAGTGTCAGACGGCCAGCGTCGTGGTGTAGGCTAGCGACCAGCGTAGAGTCGCGTTGACGCTAGACGCTAGTTGGCTGTCTTAGTTCAGCGACGTCAGCGTCAGATGGCCAGAGTTGTGTTGTAGGCTAGCGACCAGCGTAGAGTCGCGTTTAAGCGAGAGACAGAGCGTTGTGTGACAGCAGAGAGTGTGTGACAAGTTTGCTCGGTGTTTCATTAAAGAATTGCCTACAAGAAGTTACGTCTTGCCTCCAAGTCAGTCACTACATATATATCCGTGTGTATGTATCTGTGTGTATGTGTGTATGGGTCTGTGTATGGGTCGGTGTATGTATCTGTGTGTATCTGTGCATGTATCTGTGTGTATGTGTGTATGTATCTGTGTGTATGTGTGTCTGTGTGTATGTGTGGCACAAGCGTCGTGGTGACGTCACCGCCACTTAGTGGCGAATGGCGGTTGTTGTTGTATGTGTGTATGTATCTGTGTGTATGTATGTATCTGTGTGTATGTGTGTATGTTTGTATGTGTCTGTGTGTGTATCTGTGTATATGTGTGTGTGTCTATGTGTATGTGTGTATGTGTATCTGTGTGTATGTGTGTGTGTCCGTGTTACCTTTGAGCAGCCGCTGTTTTTGCACAGCGTGCCAAGCTGCACCATGCCATCCAGAACTTCTGCAGAAGCAAAAACACAAACACCACAACCGCTCACCACCACCACCACAACCGCTCATCACCACCGCTCACCACCACCACCACCACCACTCACTACCACCACCACAACCGCTCACCACCACCACAACCGCTCACCACCACAACCGCTCACCACCACCACAACCGCTCACCACCACCACCACAACCGCTCACCACAACCGCTCACCACCTGCCTGATGGTGAGCAGTTGGCTGAGTCACTTAGCCCGCATGCCCAGCCACCGCATGCCCAGCCACCGCATGCCCAGCCACCGCATGCCCAAGTGGCTTCTGTTTGGCCGCATAGAGGGGGCTAAACGGGGCACGGCATGGGCTAGAGAAGAGATAGAGTGATGTGGTACAGGAGGACGTGGAGCTGAGTGGACTTTCCGATGAATGGTACCAGCGGTGTCAAGATCGCCCTCTGTGGAGGAGGCTCGTGAAGGACGCTACTGGGCAGTTGGAGGCAGTCGCCCTCCAACAACAACGGGGGGCGGAGGAGCGACGCTCACAACAACGAGCGGAGCGCCGGGTGGCTAAAGCACAGCAGGTTGGCACAGTAGGGGGCACAGGTGGTGCATCAGCCAGTCGTCTCAGTCAGTCGACCCGTGGCACCTGGGTCTGCCCCGTGACCTCCTGCCACTGGGCGTTCGACACTTCACGTGGCCTCAAGGTGCACATGGCCTGGCACAAGCGTCGTGGTGACGTCACCGCCACTTAGTGGCTAATGGCGGTTGTTGTTGTTATGTGTTATTTGTGTGCGCGTCATACCCTCCGCCTTCTGCGTCTCCTTGGCTCCGATCGTCACCTTCTCCAGCGCCTGTCTCAGCGACGTCGCCACGGTAATCGGCAGCTCCACCATCGGCTCGTCCGGGCTGCGTGTCCACGCACAAAGACAAAGGTCCCCCGTGTAGCCTTCGGCTCCTTTCCCATGCCTGTACGTGCGTGTGCATCATCGGAACGGATGTAAATTCATTATCTGCGCACCGAGGCTCCCGCAAGGCTGTACGGGAGGGGGCGTTGCAGCACCGGCTACCGTAGCAGCACCGGCTATCGGCAGCGATCGTGCCACCACCCACGCGCAACCCACGCGCCAGCCTGTGGCTTTCACAAGATGTATCGGAACAAGTTGCTGTGACCAGCACTGTGGCACACGAGGGGGTGAGTGGCCAGCACCACGCCCGGCCGCCTTTGTGTCTCCCCGGTGGCGATGTTCACAAGCAAACGTACAGCAGGCGTCAGGGTCGGGATGGAACCCACGACCTCCTGCACACCAGACGAGGTAGTGAACATCTCATAGCCACCGTGCCTCTCTTGCTGTCTCTCTCCCCCCCTCTCTCTCCCTTCTCCCCCCCCCCCTCTCTCTTTTTTCCTTTTTTTTACGATCAGAGGAAACAAGAAGATGCTCGGTGTAGTCGGCACTTCGCTCTGTTCATCACTTAGTTTTTTTATGTTTTGCTTCATGTAACCCCCCCCCCCCCTTTTAAATGAAAGACGAACACAATATTTTTTATTTTTTCTGCTCTCCTTACCCCTTCCCTCTCTCTCTACCCCCCTCTCTGCCCCTCCTCTCTCTCTACCCCCCTCTCTGCCCCCCCTCTCTCTCTGCCCCCTCTCTTCCTATTCCATTTCACTCTCTCTCGGTCTCCTTTTTTATAACTACGACAAGTGCTGCATCTGCACGCAGCCCTTCCCACAGTCAAACGGCCTCCGACGGGTAGCTGTATCTGCATGCAGAGCTCTCCGTCATCTGCCACCGAGCACACGGCCTCCTCCAGTGCCCACTGCTCCTTGAAGGCCGGCACGGCGTGGGTCAGCCGTGCATGGCGGAACTCCAGCCACACCCTGACTCCGACCAAAGCGCGGAAGATGCCCAGGCTGCTGGCCGGACGTTGCCCCTCCAGGGCTACCTTCCTTGCCCTGTATATGGCGAGTTTGGCGTAGCCGAAAAGCACGTTGACCAGCCCTTGAAGATGTTGGGGTCTGTCGCCCTTCAGGTATCCAAATATGAGGACTGTCGGGGAGAAGTGGAGGCTGAACCTTAGGAGGATGTTTCTTAGGACCTTGAACAGCGAGTCCAGGCTCTTGCGCTCCACGTATCGGTGCGCCACCGTCTCCACTTTACCGCAAAACCGACACTCCGGGGACATGTCGGTGAAGCGCGCCAGGGAGGCATTGGTGGTGACGGTGCCGTGGGCGATGCTCCAGCTGAGATCGCCGATGGGGTTTTACGTCGGGCTGGAGTAGAGTTGCCTCCAGTGAGGCGTCTCCGGAGAGATGCAGGGCAGGGCTTTCCTCCAGGCATGGTCCTAGTGGCTCCTCAGGGTGTCCTGTTGGTGAAACCGGACCATGTAGGAGTAGAGCACCTTCCTCTTTACATTTGCGAACGCCACCTCCGGCAGGTCTTCCAGCCGGCACAGGTTGTGATCCGCCTTCGTTTGTCGGCATTGGCGATGCAGTGGCACGACTGAAAGCTCCGGTGGAGGGGGACCAAGAGGGGCCTCGTCATCCCCAACGCCGATGGGGGGCGTTCTCCCCGCTGCCGCTGAGAAGGCCCCCTTGGCTTCGGCCAGGATCCGGGCGGCCACCCGGAGCGACTGCAGCCGTGTCTTTGCGGCCATGTCTGCTGGTCCGAGCCACCGGCCCCGTGTTTCAGGCTCCACCAGATCTTCCATCCTGGTGAGCCGCGCGTTGGCGAGGCGCCTCTCCATGCCTGGGGTGGCGGTGGTGGATGGCAGCTTTGTCTGTGGGTTCCTGAGGATCGGTTCGAAGACCAGATCCTCGGCTGATCGCGGTTGGTTCAGCCTCCTAATGGCGAGGGAGCTCCATGTCTGCAGGACGCTTCTGTAGAAGGGTGGCAACTGTCCCAGTGGGAGGCCCTGCAGGTCCATGTAGAATAGTTGTTTGGAGCACTGCAGACCCCCCAGCTGTTTCAGGAGGAAGGAGGCCGTGACGCACCAGGCCGGTGCCGGGGCGGCGTGCAGGAACTTTTGCGCGGCCTGCAGTCGGAAGGTGGCCAGCTGACTCCGCACGCACACCGGCCCGTGACCGCCCTCGTCCAGTGGCAGGGCCAGGACCCCAGCTGCGACCCGGTGTCCTCCACCCGACCAGAAGAAGTCGAGGACTCGCTTCTGAAGTGCGTTGAGGAGGCTCATGGGGGGGTGCAGGGAGAAAAGCTGGTGCCACAGCATGGACGTCACCAGCTGGTTCACCGCCAATGCCTTTGTCCTGAAGGTGAGGAACTTGGACAGGCGACTCCAGGTGGCCAGCCGCTCCTTCACCTTCTCCTCCAGCTCGACCCGGTTCCTCTGCGGTGGTTCCTCCTCTGGTCCGAGGAACACCCCCAGGTGGTGCAGCGATGTTGTGCTCCAATTGATGGTTTTTGCCTTCTCGGGACACTCGGTCATGTCCCACGCTCCAACCAGCAGGCCGCTGCACTTTTGCCAGTTCATTTTTGATGAGGAGGCTTTCGAAAAGACCTCTTGGTACTCGTGCAGCAGGGCGACATCATACAGGGAGCGCAGGATGAGGAGGAGGACGTCGTCGGCGTATGCCGTCAGGACCAACTTGACGCTTGGTTCCCTGAGCACCAGGCCGCTGAGTCTCCGCCTTATGAGACTCAGGAAAGGCTCTAATCTCAGGGCATAAAGTTGGCCCAACAATGGGCATCCCTGTCTCACTCCTCGCTCGAATTTGACCGGGGCAGTGAGGGCGCCGTTGATCTTGATCATGCACTCCGCCTTGGTGTAGAGTAGGCGGATTGTTCGGACAAAGGCATCCCCAAAACCAAAGGTCTTGAGGGTTCCCAGCAGGTACTTGTGGTCTACTCTGTCAAAAGCCTTTTCCTGGTCAAGAGCCAGAAACGCGATTGGGATGCCCAACCTCTGGGACACCGCGATGAGGTCCCTGACCAAGAAGATGCCGTCGTGGATGGTTCGTCTGGGGATGGTGTAGGACTGGTCCCCGTTTACGACTTGTGCAATCACCCCTTTCAGTTGCAGAGAGAGCGCCTTCGTCAATATTTTGTAGTCGGTGTTCAGGAGGGACACCGGACGCCAGTTTTGTAGGTGCCTTAGGTCTCCGTTCTTGGGAAGCAGTGAGCACCGCCCTCCTCCAAGACTGAGGCATCACCCCGGTGACTGAGGCTTCCTCCAGCACCTCTCTGTAGTCCTCCCGCAGGGATGGCCAAAAAGCGGCGTAAAACTCCCCTGTTAGCCCGTCTAACACTGGGGATTTATTTGGGGCCAGTCCTCTTACAGCTGCGTCAAGGTCAGTCCTGGTGAGCTTTTGCTCTAGCAGCTTTTTCCCGTCTTCCCCCAGGGTGGGTAGACCACTCAATGCCTCCGCCTGGGCCAGTTCCGATGTTTCTTCAGGGGAGAACAGGCTGCCGTAGAAGTCTCTGATGATGTTGGACTTCTGCTGGAGTTCATGCACCAGGACACCGTCACCATCAAAGAGGTACTCCATGGATTTGCGTCTCCCATTCTGCCTCCCGAGGGAGTAGAAAAGCGGGGATCCCGTGTCAAGGTCCGTGATGAGCTTCACCCGGGATCGCACAAACGCTCCCCTTGTCTGCTCCTCCTGTAGCCCTTTGAGATGCTCCCTATTCTCATATTCTCGGAGAAGAGCAGGGTCGCTGTCCTTGGCGAGGCGACCCTCCAAATCGAGGACTCGGGCTTCCATGTCGGTGATGTCTGCGTTCTTCAGTCTGGTGCTCCCCCAGGTGTATTGTTGGCACAACAGCCTGGTGTGCACTTTGCCCATATCCCACCACTGGGCCAGAGAGTCGAACTGCATTTTGGTTTTTCGCCACTCTTCCTAGAAGTCCTCGAACATTTATAAGAAGGCGCCATCCTCCAGCAGGGAGTTGTTAAAATGCCAGCGGGACGCGCCCTCACGGGCCCTCTCCAGCCTGACATGGAGCACGATGAGGTTGTGGTCCGTGAAGGGTGCCGCCCTGATGCCAGACGTTATGGCGCACGTCACAAAGCTCTTAGAGATGTAAAATCTGTCAAGCCTGGACTGCGTCACCGAGCCATCGCGCCTCGTCCTCGTGTATGTGAACTGGCGTTGGCCCGGGTGATGTCTGCGCCACACATCCACCAAGGCGGCTTCCTCCAGGAGTCCCTGCATTTCCCTCTTCGGCCCAACTCCCCCCGGCTGCCTGCCCCTCCGAACGATCCAGGGCGCCGAGTGTGCAGTTGTGGTCGCCACCCACAATCATGCACTCGTCGTCCGGGATCCCGGCTAGGTGCCTCCTCAGGAGGTGCAGAAACGGGATCTTCTCCTTGTTGGTCACCGGCGCGTACACGTTCAGTAGGTGGGTGGTGACATCGCCCACCCTGACCGTTACCGCGAGCAGCCTTCCCTTCACCACTTCGGTCTGGGTGATGAGCTCGGGATGAAACCCTTTAGCAAACAGGGTCGTGACTCCACAGGAGGTGTTGTCAAGGTGGCTGTAGAAGGAGTCCCCTCCCCACTCCTTCCTCCAGTCATCCTCGTCCTCGACCGTGAGATGCGTCTCCTGAATGAAGAAGACAGAGGCAGCATGTTTCCTCACAAGAGATATTGCGGAAAACCTCCGCACTGCCTCCCTGCACCCGTTCACATTCAGGGAGCCGATGTACATTGGCGTTGCTTGGTCCTTGCCTCCATGGCCTCCCACCTTGTAATTTGTTTGCGGAAATATCTCAGCTTTTCCCTCTCCGTGCCCCGGGACTCGAGTCCCTGCTTGGCGAGGAGTCTCTCTGCTTGAGTCACAGAGGCCTTTATTGCCTTGCTGTCCTTCCATCGAGCCAAGGCAATGTCCGCTCTGTCCTTCCTCACGTTGGTCTCGTCGAGGAAGTGCCAGAGCTCTTCCGGGGAGACCAGGGGAGTCTGAGGGTCAAGGAGTGTAGACCCCTGGCTGCTCTCGCTCCCCACGCTGAAGCAGTCGTCCCGATCTGAGTCGATTTCCTCGGCGTCCAACTCCGCTGGAAGAGCTGCAGCGGCTGGGCTGGCGCATGGCCCAGCGGCGTCCTCTCCACCAGTGTCAGGAATGGCCTGGGATGGCTCCTGCTCAGGCTCTTCGGGTGGATGGCCCGGTGTCTCTTCCGCTGGTTTTGGGTCAGCAGTGGGACGGCGACCTTCCTCCTCATTCCCATCCATTTCGTCCTCGCCCTTGGTGAGTGTGCTCGACGTCTCTCCGCCGACTTCTTCCTCTCGGTCAAGGGCGGAGCAAATAGTATTTGTCCTCGCTTCATGTATAGCTGGTGGGGAGTGAGTCTCTATGACCACAGTAGACGGGTCGATTTCCGTGGCGATGTCGCCTTCATCGTCCACGGTCTCCTGCTGTGGAAACCCTTCTCCAGACGCACGCTGCTTCTTCTTCTTCTTGGTGGGTTTCTTCCTCGCCGCCCGTGCGTCACTTGGAGTGGCGTCCCCGGAAGGCGGAAACCACGTCTTCGGCGTCTGGCAGCTGTTCTGCTTCCTCCCCTGGTGTGGGGGGTTTCACCGCTTCTTCTGTTCGAGGTCTGGGAGGGGTTCCTCCTCTGAATTTGACCCTTGAGATCCTGGTCCTTCTGTATTCTTCCTCTTGCGATTTGTCGCTTGAGGCAGGGAAGTTGGGCCACGACCTCAGGTGTAGGAGGCTGCATAGCTGGCGGATCCGGTGTGGGCTGTTGGGGGCCTTGATGCAATGGGGGCTCTTGCTGCTTTGCCCCCTTTGCTCTGCCTCCCTCCTCCCCGCTCTTTTCTCCGACCCTCGCCGTCGTCGGTTTAGGGCAATCCCTTCGGAAGTGCCTCTCTTCTTTGCAAAGATTGCATCTGATGCAATCCTTGGCATAAAACAGTCTATGGGCAATGCCTGCATAGACAATGGCAAAAGAGCCCTCTTCCTGCTGTCCGGGAGTCAGCAGGACGTGCACCTGCCTCTTGAAAGATAAAATGTGTTTCAGAGCAGGGTTTTTGCACCCCAGTGACAGGGCCCGTACTGGCGCCAAGATGGTGCCCAGCTTGGACACGTGCTCCAATACGGCCTTGTCGGGGATGTAGGGCGGCACGTTCGAAACGACTATTCGCGCCGCCACTGAAGCAACGGGTTCCAGCTGGACGTGGAGTCCCCCCCACGGTCATCTCCTTCTCGACGGCCGCATCGGCCACCTTTTTCGTCGTCAGGAAGAAGACGGCTTTCCCGCTGGTCTTCGAGGCGTGGGTGATGGTGGCTGGTAGGACGATGGCGGCCAGGGCCTCAAGGGAGCAAAGGATACTACGACCAAAAACCCAGCCACGAAGAATACCAGCTAGGAGACCAGGTGTTGTACCTCAATTACGAGAAAAGAAAGCAGAAGTGCAGGAAATTCCTCCCTTCCTAGACAGGACCACATGAGATTGTTGACAAAATGTCCCCAGTCGTATAACAGCTAAAAATCCTCTCTCTCTCCTCTCTCCCCCCTTCTCCCCTCTCCCTCCCGCTCACCTGGGCCTCTCGACTCTCTCGATGGGTTTGGGAGGGGCCGTGTGAACCATGGTGAACTCGGCTCCTCCCCGCTCCGTCCCAGCGTCGCCAGCCTCTCGCTCCTTGTCGCTGCGAACTTCTGGCTTCACGGCCTCGGGCGGCTTCACGTTGCTGTGACGCCCGCTGGTGCAGCCCTGGGCGCAACGGGGAAGCGGCAACGTGGACAAAGATCCCCCGCGTAGCCTCCGACAGACTGGTGAAGCAAGTGCCGTGTTAGTAGCAGCGGTGGCGGCAGCGCCTGTGCAGGCTGCCGGAACTGTGGCACCACTCAGGGACACACACACACGTACACACACGTACACACACACGTACACACACACACGTACACACACACACACGTACACACACACATACACACACGTACACACAAATGTACACACACACACACACGTACACACACATACACACGTACACACACACACATGTACACACACACACACACGTCCACACACGTACACACAAACGTACACACACGTACACAAACACGTACACACACACGTACACACACACGTACAAACACACATGTACACACAAACGTACACGCACACACACACGTACACACACACATGCACACACAAACGTACACGCACACACAAACGTACACACAAACGTAGACACACACACACACGTACACGCACACACACGTACACGCACACACACGTACACGCACACACACGTACACGCACACACACGTACACGCACACACACGTACACACACACACCACACACACACACCACACACACACTCACTTGTACACGTACACACACACACGTACACACGTAAACACACACTCACTTGTACACAGGTCTAAGCCAACCGTGCTCAGAGGACGTGAGGGGAAAGGGACAACACTCTTAGAGGAGCAGCCAGAAGTGTCCAAATGTGAGACGCCAATTCTAACTGCGGAGAAAAAAACCCGGAGACAAATCCACGCGGCCACGGAGGGAGAGAGACGCAGACTCCAAATCTACAGCAGCAGCAGCAGCAAGCGTCGTCAGGGTCGGGATGGAACCCACGACCTCCTGCACACCAGGCGAGGTAGTTAACATCTCCTAGCCACCGTGATGATGATGATGAGAGAGAGACGCAGACTCCAAATCTACAGCAGCAGCAGCAGGCGTCGTCAGGGTCGGGATGGAACCCACGACCTCCTGCGCACCAGGCGACGTAGTTAACATCTCCTAGCCACCGTGGTGCCCCTCACGCTGGCTGTGGGGGCGCTGCTCACCGGGATGCCGAGGAAGTCGGAGAAGTCGGTCGTTCTCCGCTTACAGCAAGACCAACCCTGTGGAGAGATCGCAGGCGGCATCAGTGCCACACACCATGACGACAACACCACCACCAACACAACCATCAACAACACCATCCACCACTACTACTACACAACCATCACTACCATCAACACCACCACCACTACACAACCATCAACACCACCACCACCACCACCAACACAACCATCAACAACACCACCAACACAACCACCACTACCATCAACACAACCACCACTACCATCAACACCACCACCACTACACAACCATCAACACCAACAACACAACCACCACTACCATCAACACAACCACCACTACCATCAACACCACCACTACACAACCATCAACAACACCACCATCACAACCACGACTACCATCAACACCACCACCAACACAACCACCACTACCATCAACACCACCACCACCACTACCATCAACACCACCACCACCACGACACAACCATTAACAACACCACGAACACAACCACCACTACCATCAACACCACCAACACTACACAACCATCACCACCATCAAGACCACCACCACTACACAACCATCTGCAACACCACCAACACAACCACCACAACCATCAACAACACCACCAACACAACCACCACTAACATCAACACCACCACCACTACACAACCATCACTACCATCAACACCACCACTGCACAACCATCAACAACACAACCAACACAACCACCACTACCATAAACACCACCACCACTACCATCAACACCACTACCATCAACACCACCACCACTACACAACCATCAACAACACCACCAACACAACCACCACTACCAACAACACTACCACAACTACCATCAACACCACCGCTACCACCACTGCCACCACCACTGCCACCGCCACCGCCATCACCACCACCACTACCACCACTACCAAAACCAAAACCGCACCTTGCACTGCCAAAGCTCTCCATGGTTGAGCTACGTGAAAAATCCCCAAGATCTGCCCATCCTGACCCACAGACTCGCACAGAGACCCACAGACTCGCACAGAGATCCACAGACTCACAGAGAGACCCAGAGACTCACATAGAGACCCATAGACTCACATAGAGACCCACAGACTCGCACAGAGACCCACAGACTCGCACAGAGACCCACAAACTCGCACAGAGATCCACAGACTCGCACAGAGATCCACAGACTCACAGAGAGACCCAGAGACTCACATAGAGACCCATAGACTTACATAGAGACCCACAGACTCGCACAGAGACCCACAGACTCGCACAGAGACCCACAAACTCGCACAGAGATCCACAGACTCGCACAGAGATCCACAAACTCGCACAGAGACCCACAGACTCGCACAGAGATCCACAGACTCGCACAGAGACCCAGACTCGCACAGAGATCCACAGACTCGCACAGAGATCGACAGACTCGCACAGAGATCCACAAACTCGCACAGAGACCCACAGACTCGCACAGAGACCCACAGACTTGCACAGAGACCCACAGACTCGCACAGAGATCCACAGACGCACACACGATGATGATGATATTGACGACGACGACGCCGCTACCGCGGCTCACCTTGAGAGCGTCGTGGAACACCGGGACCCCCGGGTGGTGGATGCAGCAACCTGGGGGGGGGTGGCAGAGAAAGGGAGAAGGAGGGGGTGCAGGAGGGCCACAGACACGGTGAGCGCCGCGACAACGCCGTGGATTCACGCCGCTCAACCGGGGCCGTGCCGGGCCCACGGGGCGCCACGGTGCCAGGGAGATGTTAACTACCTCGCCTGGTACGCAGGAGGTCGTGGGTTCAATCCTGACGCTAACGATGCCTGCTGCTGTAGATTTGGAGTTTGCGTCTCTCTCTCTCATCATCATCACGGTGGCTAGGAGATGTTGACTACCACGCCTGGTACGCAGGAGGTCGTGGGTTCCATCCCGACCCTGACGATGCCTGCTGCTGCTGTAGATTTGGAGTCTGCGTCTATCTCTCATCATCATCACGGTGGCTAGGAGATGTTAACTACCTCGCCTGGTACGCAGGAGGTGTGGGTTCAATCCTGACCCTTACGATGCCTGCTGCTGCTGTAGATTTGTAGTCTGCGTCTCTCTTCCTGTGGTCGCGTGGATTTGTGTCCGGGTGCTCCGGTTTTTCCCTACAACATTTAGAATCAACGTCAGCACGCGCTTAGAGTATTTGGTTGCTGCTAAACATTTCCACACAATGATGATGATAAGCTACTTGGTTGAGCTATCATTTGTGATAGCCAAGTCGCTTCTGTAAAAGAGCTACACAGCTCAGTGGTACCTTACACTTGGGTGATTGATTGGGTGAGTGGGTGGGTGAGTGAGTGGGTGGGTGAGTGAGTGGGTGGGTGAGTGAGTGGGTGAGTGGGTGATTGATTGGGTGAGTGGGTGGGTGAGTGAGTGGGTGGGTGACTGGGTGAGTGAGTGGGTGAGTGGGTGAGTGGGTGAATGGGTGAGTGGGTGGGTGACTGGGTGAGTGAGTGGGTGATTGATTGGGTGATTGATTGGGTGAGTGGGTGACTGGGTGAGTGAGTGGGTGAGTGAATGGGTGAATGGGTGAGTGAGTGGGTGATTGATTGGGTGAGTGAGTGGTTGAGTGAGTGGGTGGGTGAGTGGGTGATTGATTAGGTGGGTGGGTGGGTGAGTGGGTGGGCGAGTGGGTAAGTGAGTGGGTGATTCATTGGGTGAGTGGGTGGGTGAGTGGGTGGGTGAGTGGGTGGGTGACTGGGTGAGTGAGTGGGTGAGTGGGTGAGTGAGTGGGTGAATGGGTGAGTGAATGGGTGATTGATTGGGTGATTGATTGGGTGAGTGGGTGAGTGGGCGAGTGGGTGAGTAGGTGGGTGATTGAGTGGGTGAGTGAGTGGGTGATTTATTGGGTGAGTGGGTGATTGAGTGGGTGGGTGCGTGAGTGGGTGGGTGAGTGAGTGGGTGGGTGAGTGAGTGGGTGGGTGGGTTAGTGGGTGGGTGGGTGGGTCAGTGGGTGGGTGGGTGGGTGAGTGAGTGGGTGAGTGGGTGGGTGAGTGGGTGAGTGGGTGGGTGAGTGGGTGATTGATTGAGTGGGTGATTGATTGAGTGGGTGAGTGAGTGGGTGGGTGAGTGGATGGGTGAGTGAGTGAGTGGGTGAGTGAGTGAGTGGGTGAGTGGGTGGGTGAGTGGGTGATCGAGTGGGTTGGTGAGTGGGTGATCGAGTGGGTGGGTGAGTGAGTGGGTGAGTGGGTGGGTGGGTGAGTGGGTGGGTGATCGAGTGGGTGGGCGAGTGAGCATTTGGATGGTAGAAATGTCCCCGTGATGATCGGCCACTTGCTTGAGCTGTCATTCGTGTGAGCCAGGGTCTCATCTGCAGCTTAGTGGGCCTTACCTGGTATCAAAATAATATTTAGTTTTAGTCCACGCAAATACGATAATCGAGTCTTTCTTACCTATCCCATCAGCCCCACAGCAATTCTGGGGCTGCGTACTTGAAGCAGCTTTGATTCGGTACAAAGCAAAAACTCTGGATCGGTTTCAACATTCAGAGTCTCACCAGCAGTGCCAGAATCGCTTGAACCAACGCACACGTCATACAGTACACGCGGTACAGTACATATTGTACAGTACACGTCACACAGTACAAACTGTACAGTACACGCCATACAGTACACGCGGCACAGTACATAGTGTACAGTACATGGCATACAGTACAAATTGTACAGTGCATGTCATACAGTACATGCGGTGCAGTACCTATTGTACAGTACACGTCTTGCAGTACACCCGGTACAGTACATATTATGCAACACACGCCGTACAGTACATATTTACAGTACCCGTCATACAGTACATGCGGTACAGTAAACATTGTGCAGTACGTCATACAGTACACGCGGTGCAGTACATAGTGTACAGTACACGTCGTGCAGCACACGCCGTACAGTACATGTTGTGCAGTACACGCCATACAGTACATGCGATACAGTACACGTCGTACAGTACATGTCATGCAGTACGCGCGATACAGTACACGCGATACAGTATAGATTGTACAGTTCACTCGGTACAGTACATCTTGTGTAGTACATTGCGTACAGTTCACGTCATACAGTACACGTCATACAGTACACTCACCATCGTCGTTTGAGTCCGCGTCAAATCGTTGCCCGCAGCCTCGATTGTAGCACAGCAGAGACATGGCGAACCAGACTCACCTAGAACCAGACTCACCCTGACCCAGACTCACCTAGACCCAGACTCACCTAGACCCAGACTCACCTAGACCCAGACTCACCCTGCCTCACCTAGACTCACCTAGACACAGACTCACCCTGACTCACCTAGACCCAGACTCACCCTGACCCAGACTCACCTAGACCCAGACTCACCTAGACCCAGACTCCCCTAGACCCAGACTCACCCTGCCTCACCTAGACTCACCTAGACCCAGACTCACCCAGACTCACCTAGACCCAGACTCACCCAGACTCACCTAGACCCAGACTCACCCACTCACCTAGACCCAGACTCACCCTGACCCTGCCTCACCTAGACCCAGACTCACCCTGACCCAGACTCACCCTGACTCACCCTTTATTCACCTAGACTCACCCTCTACTCACCCTTTATTCACCTAGACTCACCCTTTATTCACCTAGACTCACCCTTTATTCACCTAGACTCACCCTTTATTCACCTAGACTCACCCTGACTCACTCTGACTCACCCTGACTCACCCTCTACTCACACAGACGCCGACCCACCCACTGACCCAGACTAGACCCAGACTAGACCAGACTCCCAGACGAGGTGGATCTTGAGGAAGTGGATCTTGAGGAGGTGGAGGATCTAAATCAGGTGGAGGATCTAGACGAGAAAGAGGTGGGACGAGACGAGGAGGAGGTTGTGGGTCCAGAGGAGGTGGAGGGGGATCTAGAGGAGGAGGTGGAGGGGGGTCTAGAGGAGGAGGTGGAGGGGGTCTAGAGGAGGTGGTGGAGGGGGTCTAGAGGAGGAGGTGAAGGGGGTCTAGAGGAGGTGGTGGAGGGGGTCTAGAGGAGGTGGTGGAGGGGGGTCTAGAGGAGGAGGTGGAGGGGGATCTAGAGGTGGCTCTCGAAGAGGGGGGTCTAGAGGAGGTGGAGGAGGGGGTCTAGAGGAGGAGGTGGTCTCGAGGAGGAGGGGGGTCTAGAGGAGGTGGAGGGGGTCTAGAGGAGGTGGAGGAGGTGGATCTAGAGGAGGAGGGGGGTCTAGAGGAGGAGGGGGGTCTAGAGGAGGTGGAGGGGGATCTTGAGGAGGTGGATCTCGAGGAGGTGGAGGGGTGTCTAGAGGAGGAGGGGGATCTTGAGGAGGAGGTGGAGCGGGATCTCGAGGAGGAGGAGGTGGATCTCGAGGAGGAGGTGGAGGGTCTAGAGGAGGAGGAGGTGGATTTCGAGGACGAGGGTCTAGAGGAGGAGGTGGATCTCGAGGACGAGGTGGAGGGTCTAGAGGAGGAGGAGGGGGATCGCGAGGACGAGGTGGAGGGTCTCGCGGCGTCTGGATCAGAACTTTCCAGTCAAGGGGGCGGTCCCGCAACGTGAATGGGCGGCCGGCGAGCCGCGCGGGAGCGGCTAGATGCGAGGCGCGTGTCACTGTGCGCAATGCCGGGCAACGCTACTCACTTGACACGACGAGTGGGGTGAGGAGGGCCGTTATGAGCACCCCGGAACATGCATCGGAGGCCCAATCGTTAAGCGGCTAGACGCAACGGTTGAAAATCACAAGCCTGGTCACTCGTGTCGTCTTTGACGGAGGTAATATTATGGACAGAAGGAATTGTTATACTGGGTGGCCCAGAAGTCAGGACACATAGGGGCATTGTTATACAGTGTGGCCCAGAAGTCAGGACACATAGGGGTATTGTTATACAGGGTGGCCCAGAAGTCAGGACAAATAGGGGCATTGTTATACAGGGTGGCCCAGAAGTCAGGACACATAGGGGTATTGTTATACAGGGTGGCCCAGAAGTCAGGACACATAGGGGCATTGTTATACAGAGTGGCCCAGAAGTCAGGACACATAGGGGTATTGTTATACAGGGTGGCCCAGAAGTCAGGACAAATAGGGGCATTGTTATACAGGGTGGCCCAGAAGTCAGGACACATAGGGGTATTGTTATACAGGGTGGCCCAGAAGTCAGGACACATAGGGGCATTGTTATACAGAGTGGCCCAGAAGTCAGGACACATAGGGGCATTGTTATACAGAGTGGCCCAGAAGTCAGGACACATGGGGGCATTGTCATACAGGGTGGCCCAGAAGTCAGGAAACATAGGGGTTTAATTATACAGGGTGGCCCAGAAGTCAGGACACATAGGGGCATTGTTATACAGGGTGGCCCAGAAGTCAGGACATATAGGGTCATTGTTATACTTGGTGGCCCAGAAGTCAGGACACATGGGGTTATTGTTATACAGGGTGGCCCAGAAGTCAGGACACATAGGGGTATTGTTATACAGGGTGGCCCAGAAGTCAGGACACATAGGGGCATTGTTATAGAGGGTGGCCCAGAAGTCAGAAGTCAGGACACATAGGGGTATTGTTATAAACTTCATGACAAATGCTACAGGCCCCGCACGAGCTGCATCTGGCACCGCCGTCTCCCCGCGAGTCCTTGAATCTCCCAGCCGATCAAGCAACTCCGCAAATGGCAAAGCGTGGGGGTTGAAGAAACACGGTCAGAGAGTTCCCATTCATCCAGCAGTGGATTGGCGCCGCCTCGCAGCGAATGCCTTGAACACCACCGACTCCCACGCTGCCCCCAGGGGTGAATTGTAGCCCGCGCGATAAGGGCCGTCCATAAATGACGTCACGCAGCTAGGGGGGGGGAGGGGGGTCAGATATTTGTGACGATCATGTGACGAGGGGGGGGGGGGGGTGAGAAATGTGACGTCACATCAACATGCGCAACTTTAAATAAATACAGACAACACGTTCTACTTAATTAAATAGACTTTTAAATAAATGTTTTCTCCTACAACATCAGAGTGCAGCGCCACATTAAATACGCACTACATCGACAATAGTTTAAAGCGATTTGAAGCGTGTTTTATTTTGGGGGGGGGGGGGGCGGAGCTTTGTGACGTCATATTTGAGGGGGGGTCTGACTTTTTGTGACGCCATGTGACGAGGGGGGAGGTCAAAAATCGTCCAAAATCGCGTGACGTCATTTATGGACGGCCCCATAGCCCCCACGGCAGAAGCCCCATCGCGAAAAAAGGGGCACGTGCAGCACGTGCAGCGGTCACGAGGCGCACGTGCCACGGTCACGTGATTACCAATTCGTAACAATGGCCGGCTGGCGACCAATCAATGATCAGACACCACTTTCACTCCTCCCGTGGCGTGAAATTGTGTTGGTATTGTTTGAGCCTTAACGGTTGGTTAATTTTCACCAACATATTGCATAGAACTCTGACGTTTTTTTAACTGTTGGCTATATATATTACATTATTGGCATAATACATAAGTATTACGTGTGTATTAAGTTAATTATTTATTTGTATTGTGTTTAGTTTGTGGTGCCAAAGGAAGTTCAACAAACACGCAGAGACCCACAGGCACCCAGACCCATAGACACCCACAGAGACCCACAGAGACACAGACTCATAGACACACACATAGACCCACAGAGACCCACAGACACTCACAGAGACCCACAGAGACCCACAGAGACACACAAACACTCATAGAGACACACAGAGACCCACAGGCACCCAGACCCATAGACACACACAGAGACCCACAGAGACACAGACCAATAGACACCCACAGAGACCCGTAGAGACCCACAGACACTCACAGAGACCCACAGAGACCCACGGAGACACACAAACACTCATAGAAACACACAGAGACCCACAGGCACCCAGACCCATAGACACACACAGATACCCACAGAGACACAGACTCATAGAGACACGCAGAGATCCACAGGCACCCAGACCCATAGACAGCCACAGAGACCCACAGAGACCCACAGACTCATAGACACACACAGAGACCCACAGAGACACAGACTCATAGAGACACGCAGAGACCCACAGACACCCAGACCCATAGACACACACAGAGACCCACAGAGACACAGACTCATAGAGACACGCAGAGACCCACAGACACCCAGACCCATAGACACACACAGAGACCCACAGAGACACAGACTCATAGAGACACGCAGAGACCCACAGGCACCCAGACCCATAGACACCCACAGAGACCCACAGAGACACAGACTCATAGAGACACGCAGAGACCCACAGGCACACAGACCCAGAGACCCACAGAGACACAGATTCATAGACACACACAGAGACCCAACAGGCACCCAGACCCATAGACACCCACAGAGACATAGACACACACAGAGACCTACAGAAACACAGACACTCATAGACACACACAGAGACCCACAGGCACCGAGACCCATAGACACCCACAGAGACATAGACACAAACAGAGACCCACAGAGACACAGACCCATAGACACCCACAGACACACACAGAGACCCACAGAGACACAGACACTCATAGACACAGAGACCCACAGAGACACAGACACTCATAGAGACCCATAAAGACCCTCAAAGACACAGATACTCATAGAGACCCACAGAGACACACAGACACTCATAGAGACCCACAGAGACCCACAGAGACACAGACACTCATAGAGACCCACAGAGACCCACAGAGATCCACAGACACTCATAGAGACTCACAGAGACCCACAGAGACCCACAGACACTCATAGAGACCCACAGAGACCCACAGATACACAGACACTCATAGAGACCCACAGAGACCCACAGAGACACAGACACCCACAGAGACCCACAGACACTCATAGAGACCCACAGAAACCCACAGACACTCATAGAGACCCACAGATTAGCACGGTTGGCTACGTACGGTGCGAAAGAAGTTCAATATACATACGTACAAAGCCACGCGTGAAATCATTCGCTAAATAAACGGTCATGCAACGATCGCGTGCATCGAACTGTTGACGACATAGCACACTGAACATTTATCAACGCCGTATGACATCGCAGAATATTCCGCACGTTTACGATTAATTAATTACTTTCACACGCCGTGTCTCGTACGTCACCATAGCCGTGCCTCCACAAGAACAAACATCAAAAGCGTTGAGTGTTTTTTTGACACCTTCCATCAGTCGCACGACCTACATTTGCTATTCATCCGCTCAGCGTTGGTTCGACACGCGGTACTGATTTTCCTTTGCATAACAAAAATAACAACGAGGCCCACATCTGACAAACGAGGGTCTTGGCCTATACACATTCGTGCAGTTCACCAGGATTGGTTCAAACAAAGCCTGGCGCTGCTGATGAGACACTGCATGTTGAAACCAATCCTTGCTTACAAACATCCGTATAGTTCACCAGGAGTGGTTCAAACAAAGCCTGGTACTGCTGATGAGACACGACATGTTGAAACCAATCCTTGCTTACAAACATCCGTGCAGTTCACCAGGATTAGTTCAAACAAAGCCTGGCACTGCTGATGAGACACTGACTATAAAAACCGGTCCAGATTTTTCTTTTGTGTTGATAATAAGATGCACTCCCAGAATCGCCACGGATTAAACACTGGACCCTATGGGAGCCTGTGTGTCACTGTCAGTCTATGTCTCTGTGTGAGTCTACGTGACGCTGTGAGTCTGAGTGTCTTTATGAGTCAATGTGTCTTTGTGTGATTCATTGGGGACACTTTGCGAGTCAGTGTCTTTCTACAAGTGTGTGTCTCTCTGTGTGAATCTGTGTCTCTCTGTGTGAGTCTATGTCTATCTGTATGAGTCTGTGGTGTCTCTCTGTGCGAGTCTGTGGTGTCTCTTTGTGTGAGTCTGTGTCTCTGTGAGAGTCTATGACTCTCTCTGTGTGAGTTTGTATCTCGCTGTGTCTGTCTCTCTCTGTGTCTCT